GAATTTTAAAAAGTTGAACTTATAGCAGCATAAAATGATGGTTACTAGGGGCTACAGGATGGTAAGATATTGGTTAAAGGACACAAAATTTCAATTAGGAGGAATAAGTTCAAGAGATCTATTGCATATCACGTTAATAACAATATATTATATATTTGAAAATTTCTCAGAGTGGATCTCACCAAATAAAAAGATTAGGCATGTGAGATAATGCGCATATTAGTTTGCTTTAGCCATTCCACAATGCGTACATGTTTCAAAACATGTTGTATACTATAAATATATAAAAGTTTTATCTGTCAACAACAACAACAAAATAATAAGACATTTTAGGAAAATTTTATGTTTTATTCAACAGTAACAAAGACTTTTAAAAATTTACCTTTAGTTCTTGAAGCTTGTCTACATAGACTTGTTTAGGTTGGTCCTCTCCTTCTTCATAAAGCCAGTTTTCTGTGTCTTCCAATATTGCAGACAGTTTATTCAAGTCCTAGTTACACATTTAAGAGGTACTGTTTAAAAATGCTTTCCTTAGTTTGGTACCCAGTTATCAAATAAGAAAAATAAAATTAAAAACCTTCCTTAGAAATAAAAAGTTATGGAGGAAAGACAAAATTCTTTCTAGGTATTAAAAAACTAAACATTCAGACTTTTCTGACTTCTTAGTCCTGAATATATTTTCGACCATACTTAAGTAATCTGGAAAATAACTAAGAGCCATCCCCATATGTGCCAAGACTGACAACAGTAACAACTTTGGTATATTTATTTACATAATTTATATACTAAGCATGATCAAGTAAACATTTAAATAGTTCTCATAAAAAATTGTAAACTTTAGACTTACTTCTGGAGTGATAAATTTTTCATAGACAGTGCCCAGCTTGTCTCTAAAATCATATACGTATTCTTCAACAGCATTCTTAGCATCATTTCTTTCTTTCTCTAACTTATCCTGCATAATCATCTTCCCCTATTCAAAAAATTTCACATTAGCTAACATACATACATTAGGAAAGTGCAAATCAAACCACAAAGATGTAACTACTTCATATTCACTAGGATGATTACAGTTCAAAAAAAAAGTGGAAAGTAAGTGTTCATGATGATGTAGAGAAACTGAAACCTGTAACTGCTGGTGGGAATGTGAAATGCTACACCCACTATAGGAAACAGCTTGGTAATTTCTTTAAAAAGTTAAACACAGAATTCCATTTTCATTCCTGACCTAGAAATTTCACTCCTTGGTATATACACAAGGAACTGAAAGGAGGGACTTGAACAGGTATTTGTATGCCAATTTTCTCTGCAGCATTATTCATAATAGCCAAAAAAGCAGAAACAAACCAAGTGTGCATTAATAGATGACTGGATAAAGAAAATGCATTAACACAGAATGTAATATCATTCAGTCTTAAAAAGGAATGAAGTTCTGATACATGCTAAAACACGGATGAATCTTAAAACTGTTATACCAAGAAAAATTATATATACAGTGACATGAAAGGACAAGTGTTGTGTAATTCCACTTACATGAGTTATCTAAACTAGGCAAATTCATAAAGATAGAAAGTAGATTAGAGTTTACTGAGGACTGGGAGAAGGGAGGAATGAATGTTGAGTTATTACAGAGTTTCTGTTTGGGGGACAAAATTTTGCAAATAGATAGTTGTGAGAGATGTACAACATTGTCAGTGTAATTAATGCCACTGACTTGTACATTTAAAAATGGTTAAAATGTCAAATTTTATGATATATACATTTTACCACAATTTAAAACATTAATAATATAACAAGACCCACTGAATGAATTGCATGTATGTGAACTATATCTCAATATAGCTGTTAAAATACAAAACAAAATATATACATACTCAAGTTCAAATCCTAGGCTCCCCATTTACTAGCTAGAGATAGCAGGAAAGTTACCTATCCTCAGTTTTCTTATCCTAAAACAGAGAACATTATTTTTTTTCCTTACAGGGCTGTTAATAAGGTTGACATAATTCATGTAAAATATTTAGTACAGTGCCTAGCACATAATTGGTGCTGAATTAATGTTAGCTTTGGGAGAGGATATAATATAGTGGTTGTGATGTTGAGGTCTTGGAGCTCAATCACCTGGATCCAAATTCAAAGGTTACTCTTTGGCCCTGGGTGATACATACAGTCTATTTGTTGAGCCTCAGTTTCCCCATATGTTAAACGTCGATCTCTAACAGAATCTATACTTCATAGGTTTGAAGGTCAAAAAAGATACCAAAGTGTTTGAAGATGTTAGCAAAAATTACTGCTGTGATCAATAGAAAATAAAGAATCTGAAGATTTTATTACTTGGACAAACTGCTAAATGGCATTTTAAAGCTCAAAACAAACTTATGCATTAACATTTGCGAATCTAAAACAGTGAGACAATCAAAAATTAAGGAAAATCTCATACATAAAATTTTCCCTAACAATTCATTCCTTAGGGAAAATTAGTCTAAGACAAAAATTCTGAATTATTCAGGATTTCCAGGAATGCTTACATTTGCTTCACATAAAATATAGCCTTTATTAATTAATGAATAGGTGATACAGGGAGGTACTAAAAAAGAAAGGATTATAAAGTCTCTTTTTTTTTCTGAGACAGAGTTCTACTTTGTTGCCTTTGGTAGGGTACCATGGCATCATAGCTCACAGCAACCTCAAACTCTTGGGCTCAAGTTATTCTCTTGCCTCAGCCTCCCAAGTAGCTGGGAGGTGCCTACCACAACGCCTGACTATTTTTAGAGATGGGGTCTTGCTCTTGCTCAGGCTGGTCTTGAACTCCTGAGTTCAGGCAATCCACACACCTTGAAGGCCACCCAGAGTGTTATGATTATAGGAGTCTCGAGCCACTGCGCCCAGCCCCCACATCTATGGATACAGTAACATACAGCGAATGGTAGAACATGGGACACTTCAAAGAAGACTGACCTTTTTTAATCTTAGTCAAAATTTTAGAAATTAGTAACCACCACTTAGAAAATTTTAAAACTATAAATTAAACCTTATACAGGTACTAGTAAATAAACAAAACTCATTTCTCCAAGATACTGTGAAATTAAATATGTAAATAGATTAGAACATGTAAGAAAATGTCAAGAGTGACAACAGATTTTATATAACATTTAATGGAAGTCAGAGAACATTTTGAACAGATAAATGAATCTCTGAACATTCTGAATAGACTGAATCTTTCACAACATAGCAGCAGAAGGGAGCTGTTACTTCTGTATGTATATTTGGGTACTACTGTTAGAATAAAAGGGGGGAAGAATCATTATTCTCAGGAAAGCTTTTCCGTACAAGTAGATAATCCACATTTTTCACATAACTAAGATGAAAGCTACACTGTACAAACAACATTAATATAACTCAGTATTTTGTCAAAAATAAAGTAGTGCAGTTAATATATGGTTCCTTAGGACTTATAGGCTAGTTCCCCAAATTTGGAAATAATCATCAACTTCTACAAGATTTCAGAATACACAACTACCTTTTCCAATAACAACTCAAGACTTACATACCTCATTTTCAATGTAGCTGTTGAGAACATCTTGGCCCAGTTGTCTACACAGGGTACTCTGAATAGGTAGATCAATACTCTTGACTTTTCCTTTTTTAATGGTCTGATTTAATCGCTCTTGTTTGTCTGAGGGAGTTGACTGCAAAGAGAAGTGTAAATTTCTCAAGTTAGCTTAAGAGATGAAACAAAAAAAAAAAACCTCAGAACTATTATGATCTACCACAGTTTATTTAAAAATTCTACTTTAATACTAACAGTATTTTTTATTTTGTGTATGCTAAATCCCAGTTTCTATGTAAAAAATATTAGGAAATGCAAAACAAAACTGTTATAAATTGCTACTTCAAACCTACTATAATGGATATAATATAAAGATAGAAAACAACAAATGTTGGTGAGCACGTCAAGAAATTGGAATCCTCTCCTACAATGCTCGTAGGATTGTAAAATGTTGCAGCCATTCTAGAAAACAGTTGGGAAGTTCCTCAAAATGTCAAGCATTGATACCAGCAATTCTATTCCTAGGTATATGCTCAAGAACAATGAGAACACGTATTACATCAAAACTTGTACATGACTATTCATAACAGCATTATCAATAGTAATAAAGTGGGAACAGCTCAAACGTCTATCAACTGATAAATGGATGAATGGAATGTGGTATGTGCTCGTATAATGCAATATATTATTCGGCCATAAAAATGAAATATTGATACATCCTGGACAAACAGAGAAAACATTATGCTTAGTAAAAGAAGCTGATAATAAAGAACTACATAATGTTTAACTGTATTTGTATGAAATGTCCCGAATGAGTAAATCTACAGAAACAAAGTAGATTAGTGGTTGCCGAAGGCGAGTAGAGAGAGGGTTGAGGAAAAATACAGTTATTGCTAATGGGGACAGGGCTTCTTTTTGGGAAGATGAAATGTTCTAAAGTAGTGATGACAGTTGCACAACTTTGTGACTATACTTTAAAAAAAAAGAAACCACTGAATTGTATATTTTCTTTTCTTTTTTTTTTTATTTTGAGACAGGGTCTCATTTTGTTGCCCTCAGTAGAGTGTCATGGCATCCTATTTCACAACAACCTCAAACTCTAGGACTCAAGTGATCCTCTTGCCTCAGCCTCCTAAGTAGCTGGGACTAAATCAGCATGCCACTATGCCCAGCTATTTTTTGGAAAATTTTTTTGTAGCGCCAAGTTTTTGTTATGTTGCCCAGGCTGGCCAACGTGCAGGCTCACAGTGTGAGGCACAACACACAGCTTCTGAGATAATAGTTAATGAGAAAAACAATGTTAACAAAAACCAAGTTTATTTTCCTGCCCCAAAAGATAGTTTTTATTTATATTGTAGGGTCTCATTCTTAAAAATAAAAAAAAAGACAATAAACCATTAAGATGTCTTTATTATGGCTATAAAGTTTCTGTACTTTCCCATAGTACCAAGATTAAAAACATTAAGTACATTAAGAAAAAGCATTATGGGCTC